CTTGGTGTTGTCGGTGTTGACGGTGGATTAAGCGGATGTTGCATTAACACTTAAGTAACTTTTCGCATAAATAGCTAACAAATCTGCTAACGGCATATCCGTGTGTGTGTGTGTGTGTTTGTTTCTCTTGTTGTTTTCGTTACTCTTGTTGTCAACATAGCTGAGGGGTATTGGATATGGGGTAGTGTATTTGATAGCAAGAGCTGGTGACCATTTTCTAAAGCTTAGCTGCATTTAAATTGAAAATAAAATTGCCAGCAGCTGATGACGATTTTCATTGAACTTAGTTTGAAATGTGTACATACATATGTACATTAGGGTGGACCTTAAATGTATTAAGGAAATTTTTACCTCAGATTTCCTAAGTCTCAACCCGTACGTCGATGCTACTATAGTCGAAGATATCACATATAAATTTTGGTCCCGATTGGAGACTGTTAAGGTGTTTCGCACAGGAGTCAAAGTTCAAGTTATGGAAACGTAATTACCGACTACAATCGGCGATATCTTCGACTATGGTCGTTTCGATTTAGGGTATTTGATAAAAAAAATAAAAAAAATTTTAATTTTTGGAGTCTCTTTACAGGAATCTTAACTTTGCCCCCTGTGCGACACGCCTTAACCGTCTCCAATCGGTACCAAAATTTATATTGTGATATCCGTGACCGGGGTATTACCGATTGAGGGGGTGAGACTGAAAAAAATCATTCGGTTCATTTTTTAAGGACCACCTTAATGTGCATATATATGTATGTATGTTTGTATGCATGTTTTTATGTAAGTAAGCAACCATATGTATATTGTAGTTGTATTTAAATTCTTACATACGTATTGTGTGTATAAATGAAATCGTATGCTGAAAGTGTTGGGTACACAATTAAGATGGGGTGAAAAAAGCCGCATATGTAAATCATTTTAATTGCATATCCATATGCACATACATACGTCATATTATTTTAAGCATATCTGTTGTTCTTGTATGAGAAAGCTAGCTTTTTCGTTAAGAATTGTATATCGAGAAATATCCATATAAGAGTGGTCCTTTAAATAGCAACATCTAAATTGTTTATGAATTTATATGATGCTTCAATTCGTTCTTAGTCAAACCATGTTATTTGGACACACAAATGTCAACTCATTCCTAAATAGAATTGCAACTTTTAACCGTGCCACCATAAATTTAAAAAAATTAATTTTGAAATTGAAAAAAAAAAATTGTTTTTTTTTTTTAATCGAAAAGTTTTGTTTTAATCAGAACAAGTCGTATGTCGTTAATTTATTTCCAACTTGTCAGTTTAGTCACGAATAAAATCATACCACAAAAACACAAAAATACTATTATCTTTAAAGGCTGACCAAAGAAAAAATTAAAAAAAAAAACTTTTTGAGCTCCGGAATTCCATACTAACTCTCCCTTACACGAGTTTCTTGGGATTTTTTTCTAAATAATCATTTGAAGATATTTGAAAAATGTTGCACTTATTCCGCACAAAACTCAAACTAATGATAGTTTTTGGAGGTTAATATTGCATGAAGAATCCATTTGACACGATTTTATATGAATAGTTTTGACTATATTTATGTCAAGTTTTCAGATTTACATATTTTCAAACCCTGGTAGTGACCCCCAAAAATTATTTTAAAATTTAAATTTTTTCGTGGAAGACTTTATTTTGTAAGTTGAACAAAATAGAATGGCGCCCTGTAAAAAAATTTTGATATTAATATTTTAAGGACCACCCTTATGAAGGTGTCGAAAATTACATTAATTATTTTCTATGATCGTTACCATGCCAATACATTTAAAGTTAAAAATATCGATAATAATTATGAAAAATGCATTGACAAAGCTATCGTTATATCAGAGACGTATATGGATTAATATATCAATCATTATTTAGAATCTAAATTTTAGATGCATACCGATATGCATGTAACTATCAATATCGAAATACACACATCATCAAATTAATCGATAATAATATCGATAATTAATTCAAATAAATTTCAACATCGATAAATAAATTATTATTATCGGACAGTGTTCCATAAAAACGCCACCCCAGATTAAAAACAGCAGCTTTGTAAGTTTAATAAGCTCCCTTCGCCGTTAACGCGCAGTGGTCCAAACTGGAATTTTGTGTTCACAATTCACCGGTGACTAGATTTTTCACTAAATGTGATTAAATATTTTTTTAATGAAAGCTGATAAAATTTTCAAGAGACCAATTGGAATTTTGGTTTGTTTGTATTAAAATTGTTGTGTGCAAAGTGCTGAAAAAGTAGCAATTTTTAAGAAAATCCATTCTCCTTTTCCATTGTGTTCCTAACAATTGTAGGGTGTCCTCAAAACGAAAGAAAAATTTCACAAGAAAAATTTTGAAATTTTATAAAAAAATTTTCATACAAAAAAATAAGGTATCTATAAAAATCACTCAATTTTAGTATAATAAAGTTTAATTTGCAAGTGATTTTTAGTCATTTTTTACACTAACATTTCGAGCACATCTGCATGCTAAAAGAGAAATAAATGCGAAAATTTTTAACCACTGTACACCTGTCCTTCTCAGGCCAGTAAAATCTTAGATACGGTGTAGTTTTCCCAAGCGATTCACTTCACTTGATTAAGTTTTGAGATCTACTTTTCAATATGTTATCAAAAAGTGTTACTAATATTTTTAAGTGGCTGGTTGATGCAATACTTGTACAAGTTTAAAGTATTTTAAGCAGTCTTTCAGAGGCACTTAAATGTTGCTGCTATGCGGTAGAAATTACTTACGCTCCCAACTTGCTTTACACATACGTAATTCCATTAAAACGCAAACTTCACTTACTTCATATGAAGTGCTTAAATATTTCATATTCTTCGGTATTTATATTACCAAATTTGATAGCGTAATTAAAAACAGCACTTTTATTATGTCATAAAGTAATTAATTCTGCTGTAAAGCAATGTAAACAGACAAAAAAATTGCGTACGCTAAATCATTGTGAAGAGTAAATGAAGAGTTTCTAAAATGTTACCGAGCGATCACTTGAGTTGGAGCATATATTTTTACTCATGCTCAGCATACTCGTAGTAGCATGTTTGTCTATCGTAAGGGACATAAAACTGCCGGTGTAAGGATATGTATTTTATTTTCGTATATATTAGCAAACTCGTATGCGCACATGTACATATGCATCTTAATTTCAAGCTAGAGCAAAGCGCTGGTGCTTAAAATTACAAATTGCCACTTGCAGTTATTTAATTAAGTTAATCCCTAGTTACGAGTAACAGGCATGAGCCAGAGGCTTGACTTGGCTGTCGCTGCATTGAGCTAAGCTGAGCTAAACAAGGTTGGGTGTGAGCGCACATCTGCTGAAAAATTACGAAATACGTGTATTTGTATATAAGGGTGGTCCGAGAATACACAAGGAGTTTTATTCGGCAAAGTTATAGAAAATGAAAAATGTAAACCCGTATTTTTTTCTTGAAATCTGTTATTATTTTATAGTACCGTTGTCGAAGCTTTGAAATTGTCCATGTACTTTACATCGGGAAACACACATTTTTATTAGAGTCGCTATAAAATTGTTTAACATATATATTGTTTGATCGAATAATAACATTTTTCATCAGAAAATTTCTAAAAAATTATGGTGCATACATACTAAACTTTTAAATTTTACCATTTTTTATAACCAACAGTCTTATATATGTATATTAATGTGAGTTATTTAACGTGTTCGTAGCCGCATCACGCACGAACAGTTCAACGGATTTGTTAATTATTATTTTTTTAATGCAATTTTTTACGATTTTTGAAGGTAAATATTCTTATTCGAATGAAAAATATTTGTTTTTACCGATTTTATAGAAATTCTTGAAAAAAAAAACATTTTATTTATATAAAATACATGGCAAACTTGATAGCTCTATCGGCGCCATTACATGTTAACCAAATTCAAAATAAAAAAATACAGTTCTCTTTACTTTCGGGGTGGCTTGAGAACATATTGGACCACCCTAATGTATAATCTCAAAAATTCTAGAGAATGGATCGAAAAAAACTATTTACAGCCCGAAAATATCCCCAATGGTTCTGAACAAATGCCCACATATCTCCAAAAGTTCCAAAAGCCCAAAAAAAAAGTCCAGAGAATAATCTCGAAATCAAGAATATTTGATAAACATATTAATATTAGAATCAGTAGTACGTAACAATAAACTTTTCTTAGCTTTCTTGAACATCTTTCTTATTTGCATATGTATTTTGACTTTTTTGGATAAAAAAGTTTACATATGTGTACATATACATACATACGTACATATAAGAGGAACCTAACATTCTTCCACAATTATGGGATTTCCGGGCCTTAAGCTAAAGACTGAAACCCATATCTCTGCTCATAAATACATATACATATATGTATTACTGTGCCTAACCAAAAAGAGTTGCGGAATTCGCAATGGAATTATACAATTTATTATATTTCACGACTTCTGCCAAAATATTTCGGAAAAATATTAAGATTTACGTGGGCTACAGCGATTTGAAAATATCTCCAAAAATCGAATTATTTTGATTTCCGTGATAAATTTCTTAAACAGTTTTATGCATGCCTTTTAAGCTTAAACTCTTCTATAATCTGAGGTGATTTTTTGGAGGAGATTTCTTTAAAAACTAATTTTATTTATGAAAGAACTCGAAAAAAAAAATAAATTTTATAGTGCCGATGGAAAACAGTACCGAATATATTTGTTTGTTTGAGAACGATGCACCCTAATGTACATTTACATATTCATACTTATTTAAAATGCTGCGAATAATAATAAAAAAACTGAAAATTTATGGTAGCTGTAAGCATTTGCGACAATTTCGCATACATATACGACATATATAATAGAATGTACGTGGCGATAATTTTATTTTCATTTCCCGTGCATACATACATATGTATGTAGTACACACATTGCAAAATTTATTTAAAAAACAAAGCTTTAAAGTTTGTCTTACCATAGACGAGTTCGCGCTCAAAATTTGCCGTTGGAACAACAATTAGAAAAACAACACCGCCACCCATTTAGAATATCATAAATAATTTCTGTTAGCACTGCTGATGCCGCTTACATATATCTGCACTTCCTTCCTTGTTAGCTGTTTTTGCTGTTAAGGCTACCGCCGCTGTTGTTGCTGCTGCTATTGTAGAGTCAACAATAAGTTAATGGCAAAGTTTTGTTTTGGATTTTGTTTGCGTATTAACTGCGGGGATGAGCTGAAAAAAATATGTGAAAATATGATTAGTTGCTCTAATATGGCTATACTAATTTTTGTTGTTGTAGTAGATATGTATACGTGTATGTGTGTATATTTGCTGTATAAATTCGGACCCATTTAGGGAGGGGAAGGAAATCTGGAATCACCAGTAACTACATTCCTATTTTGCGTAGTTTCTGCCAGTCCTCCGAATCCTCAATGTATGCAATATTTTGAGCTGAATTCAGAAGTATTCCAGCAGGCTAGGCGTAAGTATGAGATATTCGAATTTAAAGCTGTGAAAGTGGCTTTTTTTTGAAAATTTCAAAAACTTATATAATGTAGAATAAATTTTTACGAATATTTGCACAAATTTTACCCTAAATCGATTTCATTCCTTGCTGAGGTATAAAAATTTAATTTATGCCATTGAAACTAGCATACTAGCTCCCCCATTTTGAATTTGCATTCTTGTTCATTTTCTATTTATAAAACATTCCTTATTTTTTGTGAATTTGGCCGTTAGTGTTTAAATAATTGAACGATTCGAACAGAACCGAATCGAACCGCGATTCAGATATACTCATGAACCGGTTCTTGTACCGGTATAAGTTTTTTCTAAGTTGTTCGAACCACTGAACCGAACCACTTAGATTTTTGGAACGGTTTGTAGCCCTGGTAACTTCATTGGCTAATATCTCGCCAAAAAGTTTACAATACGAAATGCTCGAGAAACATGGATTACTTGGTTTTTATTTCGTTCACCCACTTACAACAATTATGTAATTCTCAACCGCAGCGTAAAATAACTTTATGAAGTTGGCTTCGAACTTCATTCTTCTCATTGCAATTGGCACTTTCCTTACCAGACTTAGACTACTAGAAGAAAATATTATGCTTATCAGACTATCTGGTAGCCAACGTATTTTATAACTGCGGATTTTCATGCAGAAAACGGAGCCTAAAAATATGTACCACTTAACTGTAAACAAAATGTATACAAATTTATACACTTTGCTTTTAGCTATATGCTACATATTTCTAGGCTCTGTTTTCTGTTCTAAAATCCGCGTCTATTTATACCCATACAGAATTTGACTATTTGGCAGTAATCGACTTCCGTTCAAGGGCCAGAGCATGAATAAAAACAAACATACGTAAATTTATACAAAAATTCAAACAGAATAACTTTAAAGTTCAAAAAGCCATAGCCATTTACTACCCGCAAATTCAAAGTAAATAAAGCCATTCACCCGCCTTCATTGCCTATCACCCAATTCTGTCACACTAGGAGAAGCGAGTGAAGTGTTTGAAGAAATAAGTAAATGCGCAATTGGAGCCAAGCAAATTTGCCCATCCCACAAACTAAAGAAAAATAAGTTGATACTTTGCTACTCATTGTATACTTTAAGGGGCATTTGCAAATTTTCTTCCGCCACTGTGGAAAATTGAAACAAATGTTGCCAACTTTTGCGGTCATGCCTATCTGGCATGTGTGCATGTATGTCCATATATATGTATGTACATGCAAATGTCGGTCGGCGTGGGTGTAGACATACTTATATCTGCCATTTTGCTACCCGCAGCTACCTGTTTGTTAAGTTGTCGACCTACCGCAACAATGCTGCAACGCGCGGCAAAAGCGCAACTGCAACCAAAGTGTTAACTTTTCGGGTAAACCTCATTAGGCGAATGATGCCGGGCCAAAAGTTTGTCTGCTTTTGATAGACGTACACCATTAGGATCCCATCTGGCACATCCGTTGGGGCAGCCAACAGGCGTTGCTCTGTTATTGTCTCACAATGCGCTAACTATTTGACTTGAGCTGCTGCAGCTACAGCTACAACTGTTGTCGTTGTATGCGCTTTGGTTGCATGCTATTGCAACTTGCAACTTGGTCGTCTGTCAGACTTATGTCAACAAATCTGCAAGGATGTGCAAATACTTGGAATTTCTGCCGGATGCAGTTGAAGGCAGTTAGACAAATATGCAACATTTTGTGGCACAATGAGGCACTGTGCACAAATGGACGCAGAGACGGATGCAAAAATATTATAAGACAGATAAGCTATACTAAAAGAAACTGAAAACTGAAAGTGAGTGAGCGCGACAGAAAATAGAATGGTTGTAGAAGAATAGAAGATGAAGAGTTTAGTTGTTGGTGCTGCCGGACAAAAAACTTGTTGGAATTTTGTGCTTAGATAAATGGCTGGAAGTGAAAGTTTGACTAGGTGAAAATTTGTTGGCTGATCCATGAAAAGAACATATGCGCCATATACATATGTACAAATTGGGAGACAAAGTTGCGAAGATATCTTATTTAGTTAATTCTTTGCAGGAATTGTTGCATGCAACAATGCAAGGTGGGTGTGCGCAACTTGTGATGGGCAACTGCTCTTGTTCGTAGACATTTTTACTTTTCTTTTCTAAAGAAAGTTGTGATGGATTAGTTTGACTAACTTGTAATTTGTTACTCTTTATTGATGAAGTTGTTTCCGCTGTATCTGAGTGGTTAGCGTTGCATACCACCATTCCGCAGGACCTCGTTTTCATTCTTGGTGTGAGCAACATGTAAGTTAAAAAAAAAAAGTTTGTGCCTAAAATAAAAAATTCAACAAGTTTTCTCCAAAATTTCAAGCCCTGTATTTAGAATTTTTAGACAAAATTTTAAAGCTCATTAATAGAGGTCGGATTTGTTCGCAAAAATTAAGCCTAAAAATGTGTGCCGTTATAACTATAAACAAAATACAGTCAGTGTCAAAAATGTGTGAACAAAATCTAATTTTATATGAAAGAAAATGCGTAAATCCTGCGATAAAAAAATTCGCAAAAATCAACGGTAATTTTAGCGAATTTAAATTTGCACTTTATTGCACTATAATTTAATGGGCTTTGAGTCGAATTAAAAAATTTAAAATTTTGATGAACATTTTTTGGTATGTCTCTCTTGCATATTTTCCGAGTCCTGTATACAATTAAAAAAAAATGATTATTGTGGGTTTTGCTGCAGAATGAACTATAAAAAATTTATAAAAAAAATAAGTAAAATTTAGTATGGAAAATAGAAACAAATAAAAACGTCAGGGTTTTGATATTGTAGTTTCATGGAAGAAAATGCTTAGCTCCGCCATTAAAAAAAGTATTAAAAATCAACGGGAATCCTTGAAAGCTGCAGTTTATCATACCAAAATTGAACGGGCTATATGCATCCCCAAAATTATTAATAACTAGCGACACATAGCGTTAAAATGCCAAAAATTAGTTTAATTTATCAAACAGGTGGGAGACCTACTCTAAAACCTCTGTACTTACTCCAAATGTTTCATCTAAATAAGTGGAGTGAGGTGTCGGTTTTTTATTTCATCAAATTTTAAATCACCCTATACCGTTAAAAAAGTTCTAACTCCCCGGAGAGGTGGGTTATTTCCTCACTCATACATTCTTTTTCTGCGCGCGATGGGATGCCAACAAGCGGCGGTTGGAGAGAAAACTCGGCACCGTTACACCCCTAAATATCGTTTATGAAATGCTGACTGATCAAAAATCATGGGGCACGATCGCGACTTTCTCCGAGATCATACTGCGGCGCAAGAAAATTAATCTGGACAATGAGGAGATCGAAAGCAGAGGAGCCCAAAACGATCACAATTTATAGTGGCCCCTAAGGTAGATAGCGGGACTCTCGACTAGACTAGACTTTAGTTTCACTTTAATTTATTTAGTTTTTTTTATTATTTTATTCTATGTTTATATTTCATAGCATTTTATTTTATAACATTTCATTTCCTTTTGTTCTATTTTATGTTAGAAGTTTTAGAGTACTTTTTTTTGCATAGAAATAATAATTTTGAAACAAAAAAAACATTATCTAGTAATTTTTCAATAATTAAAATTTCACTAATTTCAATTACTTAGAGCGAGCCTTTATTTGCTGTTCGCACGCATTTATATACAATTTTTTTTTTAACAAGCAATTTATTCCTACTTGACCCAAATACCGTTAGAAGCAACAGCTGGCTAATTGCTTTTCAGCTTATTACAATTATTTAAGGATTAACTATTTGAAGGTCAAATTTTTACAGCTGCTTTTTCAATATTCTCGTTTGCCATTATGAAATTTAAATATTTAAATGAGAATCATTAGAAAAAATATTTAGTTGTTATTTGACCGTAGATCTGCTGAAAATATATTAATTTAAATATTAAAAACATATTTCCAATTTGAGCTTATACAACTAAGTAAAAAGCTGTGCACATACATCTGTACATATGTATTTGTGTATGTATGTGCCTAATATTTTATTGACAAAAAAAAAATGACATTAGTATTAAATAAATTCACTTTCGCTTAATTTGTTTGCCGCAAATTAATTGAAATACTGAGTTCTGTTGTAATGGATTTTATTTTTTTCAACGGTGTGATTATTTCACATCTTCATCTAAAAAAAAATATTTGCAACCAATTCTGTTAACTTATTTTCCATGGCATTGAAGGTAATTAATTCTAAGAAAAAAAAGACACAAAATTAAGTTTTTCGATTTAAGTCTTGGTAAAAAAGGAAATGTTGCAAGTTCATACAAACTAAGCAACATTTTCAGTTTTTGTTCACATTTCCGGCAAAAACATGACACTTTCCTTTTATTTCGCTTTTTCACAAATGCTCTAAATACAAACTGTCGCAATAATCAGTTGGTACTGTTGACATGTATGTATATGTATGTAATTATTTTCAATTAACCACAAATTTCCGTCAAATTTCTTTTATAATGTAATAGTCATAGTGAATTATAAAAATCTTTCACCGAACTATGGTTAATATTGGAAATTTCTATGCAAATGCACT